CTCCATATTCAAAATCAATGATCGAACCTTTGACATTTGGTTAATAAAGAATGATAATTATAGATGTCTCTAACATTCTCGTTTAGTATATACTATTCACTATAGTTAATATGTTCATTCCATTACTACACACCTACCCATTTTTTCATTTATTGGGGATGTTTATAATTGAAGTTGAAAAAAAGAGGGGCAAAGGAAGACCCAAAAAAAATCAAAACATTGCATAACAAATGCAAGACTGATGACAGTGAGAATGTGAGATGTCATTTTCCATTTATGACGAAATTAATGGGTTATTTACTCCGAATTTAATTCCCTTTGACGTCACCATGTTTTTTTATTAAATTGAATTTTGATATATATATATATATATATATATATATATATATATATATATATATATATATATATATATATATATATATAAAGCATCCCGTGTTCGGTGTTCCTACCATTATGATATTAATTCAGATTAGATTTAGGACGCACTCTCAGAGCGTGACACTTACTCGGGTGAAATGCGACCTTACAATTATATTAGTAGTTCGCTTACCAATAATTGTCTCAAACAGTTAAACTACAATGTTTACTTTCTATTTTTGAAATTCAACAAAGCATTGTAATATCTTACACTAGGAAAATTTTACTATGTCGTGAGTTATAATGACGTGTGTTTTACAACATTGTACTTTATACTTTACAAAATTGTATCTCAACCTTATGTACTTCTAAGAACCCCAGCCAGTTTGATCAAGTAGTTGTTTTGGTAACCATAAGATTTTAAGTCTAACTCTTTGTATGAGTTGTCTATTGTATTATTGGTTTGAATCCGTCAATTATGAACAACTTAATTAGGCCGAGTTACCTCATAGTAATTCTTCGTTGACTAATATTACAAGATTGGGATAACTTTTTTTTTTTTGAATGTTACTGGCCCTATTACATTGTAGTATCTGTTCATATACTTAAAAACCAATAACGCTTCCACTAAGGCTCGAACTTATAATCTTCCAAATAGAAGTCCAACCCGGATACCATTAGACCACAAGATTGGGATAACTTAAAATGCACGTTCAAGTAACTAAAATTACAGTTTAAAATTTTGAGCAAGTATTTATGAACCAAAGCCAAGTTAACTTTATCTTTATTTTCCAATAATGTATAGAATAAATAATTATTTAATTTTTTAAAAAGTTTAGTGTGGCATGACGTATGGTACTGTAAAAATAATAGTAACTGGATGAAATGTGAATTTTTAGGTAAGAAATGTAGTCTCAAAAGTAGAGTGAAAATAGAAGACATTAACATCTTCGTTGGATTTTGTGCCTAATTATAATACCTAGCATTAACGTTGTTCCTCTAATTATTATTATTAATTAAAAAAAAATCACAAGAATAGTAAGAAATCAAGTACTATAAATAGAAAGATTAGTGGTACTTTTGTAAATAATGGATGTAAAATTATTAATTTATTGACAAACATATTAGCCATTTGGTCTTACTTTATGTGTTTAGTTTCAATAATGAAACTTAATTTAAGTCATTTATAATTTAGTTTTTTGTAATATTTAATTTAATATTAGCATATACAATTTATATATTTGAAAACTCATCAAAAATATAATTAAACACAAAAAAAATGAATTTAAAAAATACTAAAGAAAATAACAAAGAAAGAAGAGTAAATTGAAAAAGATAAATATTACCTTCCAATATTCATAGACTCATAGTGTTTATATGTGTTTGAATTAAATCCATTAGAAAAGATACTTCAAATAGAACTTGATCGAGACATGACTGAATTAGTCTATACGTGATATATATATATATATATATATATATATATATATATATATATATATATATATATATATATATAATTAGGTTCTGGTGCGGTTAAGGTGCCCAGGTGCGGTTGTGTGGTTTAATCTGGGCCATTTATCTCGCTTAAATCAACGTCCAGGATTACCAAATTTTTTTTAAAAAACGTGGTGGCAAATTTGTAATTTTTGCATCTAGGTCAAAATTAAGTTGAGCGGATCTGTGATTAATATGCGTGAGGTTTGTGCGTAAGGTGCGTGAAGTTTGTGCTTAATGTGCGTGGGGTTGTGCTTGATGTGAGTAGTTGTTAAAACTTAAAGTTTGTGAGTTAATAATTAAAGTGCGTGAGTTTTGTGCTTAATGTGCGTGAGGTTGTGCTTAATGTGCGTGAGTTTTGTACTTAATGTGCGTGAGTTTGTGCTTAATATCAATAGTTGTTGAAACTTAAAGTCTGTGAATTAATATTTAAAGTGCGTGTGTTTTGTGCTTAATGTGCGTGAGGTTGTGCTTAATGTGTGTGAGTTTTGTACTTAATGTGCGTGAGTTTGTGCTTAAGATCTAACACTTAAAGTGCATGTTTCTATCACTTAAGGTGCGTTATTTTTAGCTTATGCTTCTTTCTTTCAGACACGCGTTTTTTTTTTTTTTTAAATTTTCATTGATTTGAGCCGTTGATCTAAATTTGATCAACAGCTCAGATCTAACTACACAACTGCACGGGAAGCTATACCCACACCTGAACCCTTCCCTATATATATATATATATATATATATATATATATATATATATATATATATATATATATATGGGAGTGGAAATGGAAATGGAATGAAATGAAAGATGGAGAATAATTAAGGGGCAAATTAAAGCTTGTGGCTTTATGGTAAAGTAAATAAAAGAACACCAATTTGGAGGACAATGTTGCCCCTTTCCAGCTTTAAATCCATTCCAAGAGAATATTTCTAACAGTTTCACCACAGAGACGTTATTATATGCTTTTTAAAATTATTTTTGACAACCCAAATTTTCCCTAATTCCCGCCGCTTATACACTTCAATGCACAAGAGATTTTCACCCGCACTAACGTTTAATTAGTCAGTCACTTGAACTATTCAACAGGACAATTTTCTCTTCTTTTTATTTTTGTCTTGCAATTTCTTAACACAAGAGGTCTATTTTTTTTCGAAAACCAAAACGAATACTTCATTAAATTAAATGTTCAATGATCTCGGACCAGAATGAGAACTAACAGCCCTAGCCAAGGCATGAACGACTTTATTCACTGATCTCATAATGAACACAAGAGGTCTTTACTACTATATATATTAATTAATCGACCACTTGAATTACTCGACCAGAAATTTTATTTTATCTTAGAATTTCGTCAGACTTTAGTCTTTTGGTCTCAGTCAAACCTCTCAATTTTGCAATGCCAACAAAAACTTATCCCTTACTCCCCTTTTAAGGTAACCTCCTCCACTTGTCTGCTCTTTTTTCTTTGTGTTTTTTAGTCTTTTTCTCTTTTGTTAGGTCCGAGGAGTGTACGTGCGGTGGTCGAGATTTCTGCTATAAACATGTTTGACCCAACTCTACCAATCTTACCCGTTACCATTATTCGAACCTCGACAGTGACAGTGTGAAAATTATACTCAAAATGAGCAGATTATATTGAAAAACTGTCACCGAACTAATGGCAATAAGCAGTTCTTTATCAAGCAAATAGCTATGGCGCCTTTTCGACGAAACCTAATGCTGTAAGAAGTATGTACAAGAATGGCACCTCGACGCTAAGCCAATCCAAGACCGGGGGTCGGGATCTTGGTGAAGGGGGGGAAAATTCGTGTGCAAATAAACGATATAACGAATGCATGTCTCATTGTATTGTTTTCGTAAGTTTACACTTGGAAATGAAAATGGTGGCAGTGTAATTTAGACTACACAGTTTCAAGAGCTCTGCTGATCGTTGCTTCAACACCGGGTTGCAGCCGCTCTGGATCACGAGGAGGAGCTTCGCTGCGAGCCCAGCTTCAACGACGAGCGTGGAACATTTCTCGGGTGCGAGCTTGCAAACTTCCCACAATATCGAGAGAGCTGATTGAGTGCAGCTCTCGGAGACTTTCATCAGCAGCTTCACGGTGTTGGGGATGGTTCGGGGGCAATCTTTGAGAGCCAATGCGCCCTCCGGGAGGGTAGACAATAGCTCGAGAACGTGAAGGGCTAATTCCAAGCACTCTGCATTCAAACTAGGCAAGACATCTACCAATTGAGGGATGCTCCCAACGTTCACAATCGAGGTTCGTAACGATTCATATGAGGCGATTATCTTGAGCATCTTGAGGCCTGCCAGGACCCCGTTCGGGTGCCTCTTATCCCTCACTAATCTCAACACTCCTACCGAAAGACTTAAACTTGACACGATTTGCGAGTCAGAATCCTTCCCTTCTATCAACATTTCAAGCAGTTTCACACAATTGATCTTCGTATCGATTGACCCCTCGTTCAACGTATCCACTAGTAACGAAACCTTGGATGGTTGCGCCAAATCCTTCTTCCCGTAAAAGTTGAGATCCAAGTGAACCAAAATCCCAATGGCCTCGGAAGCAACAGCGTGAGTGGTAAAACCGCCCAATAACGAGCTAATCAGAGCAACCCCGCCATTGCTCATCACAGTTTTCTTGGCGGAATCGTGCCCGGACACGACTAGCCTCAACTCCTTCAACGCCTGAACTCTAGCCTGACCCTTAACCTTCTTGAGAGTCTCAAGAATCTCCAAGACTCTGCCTTGGACATCCTCGGACCGCTTCTTCATAGCCAAGAACTTCTGGGAAAACCAGGTGTAAATCAAGTGGTGCAGGGTGCTATTAGGGGTGATTGAATCATCCCAAAGCTCTTGCATTGTGGTGGGGCAAGTGAAGTGCCCCAAAGAGAACCATTTGAGAATGTTGGACCTCTCATAGGTCTGCCCTGTGCAAAGGGTCACAGGGTCCTGCATTGGGTCTAAAGAAATTGGGCAAATGAACACCGCAGGAACCTCAATTGCATCAAGCTCTTCAATCATGGTCCTAAGACTAGGTTTCTTGTCAACCTGAGTTGCCACACCCACCACCCCCCCACCTCCCAAAATCCCATCTTTCACAGCAGTTTCAAGATCCAGAACCTGCCCACCACCCCCCACCTCAAACTCCCCCCTCCCCCCTCTTCCTGGCTGATACATAGGCATCTTACACCCTTGGTTTTGCCCAAAAACTCAAACCCTATCCTTTAAATACACAATCAAGAATTCAAGAATTCAAGAAACAGTCTTCCTCACCACACAGCAAATTCAGGGACCAAACTTGAAGCGTGTGGGTGAAAAAAGGAGAGAAGAAAAGAGAGAGTTTCTCACACTATTTGGCCCTCTCTCTCTTTCACTTTCTGGGTCATTGACATCACACTAGTCCCACAGTCAATAATCAACACCCAAGGGGGACATCTTTTCCTTCTTTTCCTTATTTTCCTTGAGCTTTATCTCAACTCTTTTCCCCCGGTCAAAAGAGTCATAGTGTTCGTTTTCACCATCATTATCAAGATCAAAGACTATGATGATAATAAGATGAATTGCTAATCTTACTTCCCCAATCCCAAAGCCCAACTACTCTAATCTTTCCACTCTCTCAAAATAGATTGGAATCACAAACAATCAGTCCTACCCAGATAAGAAAACCCCCAAAAATCCAATCTTTAAGAAAAAAAACAGTTTCTCCCCTAGATTTTCAACAAAAAAACTTCAAGAAAATTGCAAGAAAGAATGGGAGAGCTGAGAAAACATACCAAGTGTGGGAGAAAATATACAAAGGGATAGGAGAGAGAAAGAGGAGGTATGAGGTCACTTTGAGTGTGTGTGTGAGAGAGAGAGAGACAGCCCCTTTCTCACCTCTACTGATTGTTAATGGGGTCTGGCCTGGTAAGTACTTGAAAGTTGAAACCCTACAACAAAAAAGTTTCTTTATTTTTTTTTCTTTAAATTATACCCATTAAAGAAATTACAACTACCAGAAATCTTCAAACTTTTACCAATAAAAAATTCCCTCATACAGTGGGTAATTTGACCACAGTACAATGGGTCCAAACTCCTATGCTGGATAAAAAGGAAATCTGCTCTCTTTGGATGTATTTTTAATTGCAGTGTATATTTATTGTACCAAGACAATTTTCAAATTTTGTAAACATCTTTTATTGCATCATCATTTTTTTAATGTGTAAAATTTTAAACAAATTTAACTAAACTGGTTAGACCGTTAATTTGGTAATTATAATATTATAAGTTCAACTTTAACGAGAAAAGTCTATTTAGCTTTCTTGATTTGAGCCGATCAATTGTGACTTGTGAGTAATCTAAATTAATTTACCTCCTGATAATCATTTGTCAATTATGATCACAATGCAAGATTTACTTAGTGCATACCCTCATGTGTATGCAGCAACACCCTTAATAGTTCTTCCCAGTTGAGATCTAATAATCGAAAATTAATAAGATTAGTCTCATCTTACCCGATACAACACCATAAAACATGTGGAATGGGTTTGTTGAAGGGAGAAGAAACTCAAGACTTTGTTTGTATTAATATTATTGTCCATTTTGGGTTTTCCTTTCCTTTCCTTTGGCGTAGGGGAAATAAAATGCAAAAAAAAAAAAAAAATGTTTATTAGGGCAAGAAAATGGGCATTTGGCAGTTTTAGATGGCGTCACGGAGGGGGATGCCAATGGTGAAGAAAAGGGAAGTTAATGCGTTTTGCAGCATTAACGTGCGCCATAGTTTATGGGGAAATAATACAGTCCTTTCATCATAAATATAATGCCAATACTCCAAATATTTCTTTATCAATTGCTTGCACACAATCTTTTATTTGCATTTTTTTTAAATAAGTTTATTTTTGTATTAAAAAACAAATTTTAATGAAGTTACTTAGTAAATGTAAATCATACCTTTTAAACAAATATATATTATTTTCTTATTTTAAAGTTATTTGTAATAATTAATTTCTTGTGCAGCAATGGTCACGTTGCTTCGTCATGTGTTAATGGAGTGTACGTAATAATCAAACGCAAATAAGTTCACACACAAAGTATTATATCATGGTATAAATGGTAATGTATAATTTTTAAAGTATGGTGTGAATTTTACTCTAATTTTTGAAAGTAAACTAATTAACATTGAGAAAAATGTTATTTTTTCATATCAAAATTGGTCAATCTCTTATGTGGCTCTATCTATATATAAGGTATATAAGACAGAAAAACTTTGTATTTTTATTGATTATATGTGAATTTGATAGTTTGAGTTGATTAACTATTGCATGAATTAATAAAGAATTTAGACAAAAATGACATTTTTCATATATGAATTGTAGAAAAATATTACTTATTGTTCCTTGATTATATAGTCATCACTTTTCACCCATCATTTTTTTTGCATAGTAATTATTTATTTTCGTCCTTTACTTGTGTGCAGAACTAAAAGTATTATTTTTTCTATAATTTAATGATAAAAATGTGTCATTTTTGCAAGAACTTATTAAAAATTAAATACGAAACAAATTTCATACACTAATAATCAATGTTGTAGAAGGCTCTAGGTGCTAGTTGTACGTTTGGGGGCACTTAGCGCCTAGGCGGTCAAGTAATTTGAGTATATCGTCTTCACTTTTTCCACTTAGGATTGTGAATTGTTAGACTATTATAATCTCACAAACTAGTCAACTACATATGTTAAATGATTAGTTGAATATATGGCTGGAGGAATATAAAAGATGAGCAACTGAGCAGACAAAAAATACCACTCGACCGAATTTGGTGCCGACTTAGCCTAGTTGAGTGCCAACTAGGCGGAGTTAGACACCCAATTTGATGCATAGTCGACTATCTAATTAAAAATCACTTAGGACTAAAATTGTCTCGACCTAGGAACGCCTAGCGCCTAGCGGTCAATTTTTATAACACGGCTAATAATACCTTATGTGTGAATATTATATTAGATAATGATTATAATGGCGGTGACGTAATATGATTCAAAAATTATTTTGTTTTAAAATTTGTGGGGGAAAGAGAGGTTGGAGATCCGTGGGGTTTAGGTAGTTGGGATCCAGAAATGGAGCGTGGCCTTTCAGAAAGTGGCAGCTAAGCAATTTGACCAGTCAAACACTAATTCTTTTGTGTTTTTAGATTTAATTATAATTATAATTAATAATTATTTGTAATTGGTTTGACTGAGGGGAGGACAGGGACACGTGGCGACGGGAAGCGTGTGTTCGTCGTCTTTTGCTCCCCCATCACGCCCTGTCTCTTTTCTTTTGTTTTCTACAACTTCCCATTTTACTTTTTTTTTTTAATTACCCATTTACTGCTTAATCACAATAATTAATCGCACTAACTACTTTTTATAATACCATACCTAAACATTACGAGGTAGTTAAAAAATAAAAAATAAAAAAAATTACGAGGTTGTATCTTGAGTTTTTTTTTTTCTTTTTTTATAAGTATCTAATTTTCATCAGTGTATTTAGATTCAACACAAGTTATACTTTCAAATTTTATCTTTTATTTTTAAAAAAGTCTAACACAAAACTCTTTAACATGCATGGCGCCCGTTTACAAAATTCAAATCTCCGATCTTTAAATTGCAATATGAGTTCTATTTATTATTTTTTACTATTTTTTTAAAAGTTAAGTTTTAATTCTAAAGGTCCATATTATCCCATTCCAAGGATCTTTTGAAAGAGAATTAGATAAACCACAATATGAGTCTTAATCGGTTAGGTACTTAGAACTTGTTATACTACTATACTAGTGCTTATAAGGTTAGGAATTCAGCTCGAAACATGATTATTTATAAGATAATAGGAATCAAAATTTACTTTACAATTATCGATACTACTGAGAATATAATATCGTGAATTGTGATCGAAATATATAATTCTTGCAGGAATTTTTTGTATCTTTTTAAAAAATGTATTGTAGAATTTTATTTTCTTTTTACTAATATTAATAATAGTATAGTTGTGGTATTTTTTAAAGGGCAGTAACCTTATCCAAGAACTCATCTCAAGAATGGTGGATTTGACTAGGAATTCATTGACGCAAGCTAAGGCTGCTTGATCTGCCCAGATCAGAACATAATGTGCAACTTCATTATTATATTTATATTTTATCATTATTCTCATTTCTCAATGCTTCATGCTTGAACAAAGTGCCCCGAGCGTGTGCGCCACTGCGGAAGCTCTGAGGGGTAGGTTATGTGATTAAATGATCATATCTAAGTATATATCTAACGAATGAAACTCACAATCATTATTTAAATAATATTATTATTTGAAGCGTTAAGTTTAAAAGAATGTGTATAAAATTTGAAATATTAATTTAAAATAGTGACTCCATATAATAAATAAATAGAGTTAATTATCGATTTGGTCTTTCAATTATGAGGATTTCACCATTTTAGTTCGTGACTTTTAAAATTGACCAATTTAGTCCCCAGCTATGACGTTAACCAAAATGGTAATAATAATAAAGACTTGTGTAGAGTTAACAAAACAAGAACAAAACTATCCACACATTATTTGTTTTTTCTTCTTTTTTTTTTTTTTCACTGGAGTGGAATTTCTATTCATAGAGGAGGGGTAGGAATTTCTATTTCATGAAAGGAAGGAATTGCAATTTCCCTCAAAGCGAACAATAAAATTCACAAGCTTAAGAATTATATTGGAAATTAATTACAATTTCATTCTATCAAACATGTAATTAATTCATTTAATTGTTTTGGGTGTATGGTCAAATATAATTTAAAGAGTAGGACATGGTTAACACACACAAAAGGTTGAATTGATTTGGTCATGACCAACCAGGCATCCATTCAACAACTTCTCCGAAAGGATAATAATATTGTACTCCTAGGTCAATTACTGGTATATCAACCCAATTAATACTAAATAAATAAGGTTAAGTGAACTGCCAGTCCATAGATACTAATATACTAAACCTGTATCCAATTGAATACACCAAACTTGTGAATGGGTCTAATATAATAAGTCCAACCATAATAATTATGAGTTATACTTTATTTATTTACATATTTAAGTTTATATATAAAATACTTTTTGATAAGAGTATTTATATTTTTGAATGGTTATTCTATTTGTATTCATTAAGCCAATCAACTATCGAAATAAAATCTTTGAAGTTTATTTCTCTCGTGAATTAAATAATGGAATAGGATTTTTATTCTAGTTTTAGTCTTTTTCAATATGCTCAATAAGATTTATCACAACAAGAAAGACGCTCATCAACAAGAGTGAAAAATCATTGTCTTTAGGATCTCAGAAAAAACTATTATGGATGGATGCATAGTTGAAGACCACTATTCAAAGACAACTATTTTTAACCATTGTCTTTTTCATATAAGACTAGGGTTGTAAAAATCGGTCTAGGCGTCAGGCGCCTCTAGACCGTGGCGATTTCCCCTCTAGGCGGCCGCCTAGGCGTTCGCCTAGCGCCTAACTCGGTCGATCGGCTCGGTCTATTTTTTTATTATATATATATATATATATATATATATATATATATATATATATGTGTGTGTGTGTGTGTGTGTGTGTGTGTGTGTGTGTGTGTGTGTGTGTGTGTGTGTGTGTGTGTGCGCGCGCGCGCATACATATATATAATATTACATATATACACTCGTAGACTAGTTTGATACTTTGAATCTTTGAATGATTGAAGTATTTGAGTATTTCATATTTGAGTATTTTTTATTTTTAATATTGTTTTAATGGTTTTTTTAAAAAAAAAACCATTGTTTTGATGTTATGACTTATGAATTATCATTAATTCATTTATTTGGATGTGTTATTTGATTAAATGTTGAAAACAACCTCATTAAAATTATCAAACTGCAAGTCTACCACTGTTTTTTTGCGCCCGCCTAGCGCCGCCTAGGCGCTAGGCGCTGTCCGGGCGCCCGACTAGCGCCTGGCGCCTACTGCAACCATGTATAAGACAACTAACAGTTTTTCACCGTTGTCATATATAATTGTTTTTTTTTTTTTTTGAGGTATATTCAAAGACAACAATTTTATCTATATATTGCTGTATATTGTAGGTATAGGTTATAACGGTTGTTTTTTGAGTGTTGTCTATGAACATTTTTCTTGTAGTGTATATTCCCGAATTTCATTTAGCAAACTAAACATGTTATTAATCTCTTCTATTGTGAGACTAGAACCCTTGACCGTAAATTTGAACTTCACTATAAGGTTATGGTGCATAATTTTTTCTATAGACTAGTTCGTCTTAGTTTGTTTAGAAATGTTGTATTTAGTTCGATCTTATTATTTGTTATAATGGTTTTACACATAAGATATACTAGAGTTTTTTATTAACTGTTTAATTATGTAATATATTGTATGCAAATTTAGATTATATTTGCATGTTAATAACCTATAAGATTGTGCAAAGTTAGACGACAAATTACAACTCTAATTAGGTAGAGTCAATTTGGTTGTATGCATGAAATTATTGTTCCACTACACAGGCGACCAACCAATGAGTTAGTGGGAATTGAATTCCCATGCCATTTTATTCTCTTGGAAGATGACATCTATGAACCCACATGACAATAAATATCTTCAAAATTCTATGAACATAATTAAATTGCTTGATAACATAATGTTCTAAATTCAATTCCTGACGTGAGTTGTACATCTATTAGTATTCTTAATTTAAACTGATTAGTTTTGGGTAACTTATGTTGATTTACCTCATTGGGGATTTGTGGTCCTTTGCTAACTATGGTCACAAGGCGGCTTCACCAAGAGCGCACATTTGGATGGCAGATTCGTGCTTTCATGTAAATAAAAAAGAAATACAGAAGATATATGTGGAGCATTATTCTAGTACCTAAAGGTCATGAGTTTAATTATTACCAATACTCTCTTGGTCAAATCAGTTGTACAAGACTTCATAGTGTGATTTACCTTTCCTGTGTAGTTTACAAGCTATTACACAAGAGTGAGATTTAATTACTCAGTGCACACCCTCGAGGAGTGGGTACAACTACAAGTTTTCATTGTCATCTAAAAAAGAGAAAAAGAAATAGAAAAGCTAATAAGAAAAAATAAAAAATAAAGCTACATTTACTTCAATTCATTCCTCCTTTTTTTTTTCCTTCAATTTTCTATTCTACATTCTCCATTTTTCAAATTATTGAATTTTTTGTAATTAATAAACGCAACTTAAAATACTTTAGTCAAATGGGAAATGTATTTGTAAGTTGTGGTTTAATTTCCTTGGCTTCCCAACTCCTCATTATTCCAAATGCATGCTTCTTTGAAAGTTTGGGCACTCCCACCATTTTCCACCGGTGTCCCAGCTGGGTTGACTGGTCCTCTTTCACCTATGTTTTTGTGTGGTAGTGTAATGATTGGAACAATACAAAATCTTAGTTGACTAACTCTGCCTTAATAATTCCACTCCATATGGTGTGTCATTTGACGTGAATGATGACTTGCCTAAACGATGTTGATGTATGCATGTGTGATTTCAGTCAAATCAAATATATATATAATATATATATTAAGATGTCGGACAAACATCACTTAATACTTGCTTCTAGCAATAAAATAGCGGTTCGATTCATATCATTAGTATCGAGTGTTTGAATTTAGGTTAGCATCTATTTGTGTAAAAGTGTACATTCTGATGTCAAATATCAAATCTAGATTAACTTGATTTACTTAGCTCCTTAGAGTGAATTCAAAAAATCTGAACTATTATATATATATATATATATATATATATATATATATACACTTTTGTTCAAATGCGATCGCACATTCTCTTGCGGTCGCTTGACAAAATACACCAACAGTGCAATAGTGTTAGGAAAAAAAACACAACAATGAAATGCATAAATAATTAAATACACAAAAAACACAGTAACACACTAAAAAAAATGCATCATAACTTATTTAGAAGTTTATAGCTTATTTTAAGTTACTAATGAAATATAAGCTTTGTTTGGTAATGTTCTCAAAATAAGCTAGTAGCTTAAAATAAGAGCTTAAGGTAGAGTTTAAAAAAGAAGCTAGTAGATTCATAATTTTTTTTTCTTTTCATCTTAATCGTTATTATTTTAAATAAATGACATTCTTTACCTTTCCTAATTAAAACTATTTTGGTCTTTTATCATCTCTTATATTTTTAATATAATCATTTTCTTCCGCAACTCTTCACCGCCCTTCAACGAAAATTTAAGTGAGACCTCTATTGAGATGAAGGAGATTCGCAACAATTTTGCTAATTCATTATGAGATGCTAGATCATGATTATGCTAATAGTTTCATTTCAAAATGTTAAATTTTAATACGTACACAAACCTATTTAAATTTAAAACTATTTAAATTTTATGAAGATGTCATTTTTAGTCTCTTTACATTTTTTTTTGAAAGCCAAATACTTTGGTATATTAATGAACGAACATAGTAATAGAGTCAGGTGGGATTACATCCCAGTACATAGGATGTTCCTGATCGAATGTTAACGAAGCTAGTGTATGAGCATGCATATTAGCAGTTCTGGAAATATAATGTAAAGGACAGTAATTAAATAATGACATAGTTGTCCTGCACTGGTCCGCAATGACCCCAACATACGATCGTATTCCGGTACTTCTTGATATTATCATGTTACGCAACTCCATGCAATCAGTGATTAGATCAACCCTCTGTATATCGCGCCCTTTAAGCCGCGATAGGGCTTCCTTGCATGCTAGGGCTTCTGCCATAATGGGTGAAAAGGCACCAGGTAGTGTCCCCGCCGAGGCTGCCATAAAAACACCCTCGTGATTGAGTAACACAACTCCGTACGTTGCTTCCCCCGTGTGTTGTCTGTAGCCTGCATCGAAATAGCACTTGAGCCCATACGGTTCGGTTTCCGGCATCACTGTAGCATTCGGCTGTGCCGCCACTCGTCTCAGCCTGGTGAAGGCCTCCTTGGTCAGCACCGCCTTCTTCACTGTAGCCGTAGGCCGTGGCAAGGCTCTCTCCCATAACGCCGAATTCCTTGCTAGCCATAAGTAGTAGAGGATCCCAACTGCCAGGCATACTTGCCCCTCTAACAACGAGTCCATCATGCCTATGAACCATGATTGGAAAAAATTAGTTTGGATATTCGTAACAGGTAATCCCGAAATATTCCAAACCATTTTAGAATAATCACATAAAATCAGCGCATGCATAATATTTTCTTGTGTATTGCCACACATGGGACATATAGGATCCACCTCCACTCGTTTAACAATTAAATTATCAGTGGTGGGTAGTATGCCAGACACAGCTCTCCATAAAAAGGTTTTCCATTTAGGTGGCACTCTTAATTTCCATAATGTAACCCATTTATCAAAAGCACCTGGGTCATCAGAGTAGTCCCCCATAATACGCCTATAGGTTACATTTATCAACTTATAAAAAAGTTAATTTTACCAAACACTTAGCATAATCAGCTAGCTTAACAACTTTTTAATTTTTAACTTTCAACTATTAGCTACCTTTTCAGCTAGGTTTACCAAATATAGTCATAGTCAACCATTTTAGTTATCTTTCGTACTCCTTGTCTATAAAGTTAGTGGACATGTATAACAATTTCAATGAACATAAAGTTGAATCTAGATGAACAATGATGATGTCATATATGATAGCAACAGTATAAATGGTAGTAAACAGGACATAGTTATAATATAAGTTTAATGGAGTAAAAAAATTAAAATAAATTTGAGCCACAAAATTTTTGGACATGAGCAATGGTCAAGCGGAGTGGTTCAAGTTTGGTATGTGTCAAGTTTCTTGAGCGTGACGACGACTAGTCTTTGACTTCCAAATTAGCCTCATTGACTGGGCTCAATGGGCCCAGGTCCCATGGACCTAATTGCATTGGGATGAGACATTGGGCCAAGCCCTTCCATTAGACTTTTGGTCCATTTATCTTGATTATCCCATCGCTATGAATAGGGAAAATGGTGAAATAGATCCCTAAACTTTATACTAAAAGTTAATTAGCTCCCTACACTTTTAAACGTTATAATTAAGTTCATCCACATGTTATTTTCAAGCATTGAAACTCACAGACTTAATATTGATCTGTAATAACATGTCAATAGGGTTTCGACGAGACTTCAGTGACGTTCCGACTACTAAACTTGACAATCGACAGTTGCTGGTCTACCTTTGGAGAAGGTGCGAGCAGGTCGCCTTATCCATTGAAAAGGCAACCAGTGGCCGCTTTCTTCAAAGGCAGACTTCAATCTTGGGTCGCCAGATTTAGTAATCGGAACGTCATTGGAGTATCGCTGAAACCTTAATGACTTGTTATTACAAGTTACTATCTCATTTGTGGGCTTTGATGGTCAAAAATTATATATTGATGAACTCAATTGCAACTTTTAATAGTTCAAAGACCTAATTTATGATGAGGTCATGACAAGAGCAATTTCAAATACCACTAGAGTTTTAATACTGAAAATTAAAGCAAAGCAAGTGCATTTTAAATAAAAAGGGGAAAAGTCAAAATAAATGCGCCATACAATAGTAAGAAACTCATAAAATTAAGGTATGTGCAAATTTATTGCAGAAATTTGCCAGTCTGATTGTGCATGAATTGAAATCACATGTTAGCCTAAAAACAATTGGGAAAATCATTTCAAAGATCTAAAATTCGTGGCTGCAAAAGGTTGAAATTAAGTCATCAAAACCAAATTTGAAGTCATATGGGTAAATTAAAGCACATTATTTACTTTAAATTTAATATTAAGATCTGAGTCTCTTGATATACTTAAAACACTTTGTATTCCCTTTGCGAGTTATGTATCAACCTATTTAAAGGCTAAACATAATCAGACATAGACATAAATGATTGAAGTTGTATCCAAAAAAACAAAAAAAAAAAATGATTATCTGCTTGTCTCTCTTGTGTGTTGAGAGATGTTCTCTAAGCTTATCAAGATAATTTTCAATTTTGTGACGACATCCATTCCTTATCACCTAAGACCAAGGTGTGACGGAATATCCTTATAAAAAACACAAAAATTACCCCTAACCAGCCCTCTACATCAATCAATTCCATCTCCAACACCCCCATATCGTAGTTCTTGTGCTTGCTGTATTTGTGAGGAAAAGATCTGACAATTGGAGGACTTTTTGGCAAATTGATACTCGAGTTCATGCCAAATGATTCACTTCAACTGACTTCTTGTATAAAGTTTAAGAGCTTATTTGACCTTTTTTTCCCTATGAATATAGAAAGTATTTTCCACTTCTCATTTCGATCACTAATTAACAAAAGAGCAAATTTTACTTTTAGTCTTCTAGCACTACCATATTTAATTCTTTTTTTTTTTGCCATATTATATTCTTGAATTTTATTTATTGTGACAATTAGTCATCCATTTAAATTTTTATTAAAGAAGGGGCTAACATGTTATTTTATCATTTAACCCTCTTGTCTCAACATGTTCCTCTCTTATAATATTTTTTAATTGAATGATAAATTACATATTAATCATATTTATCAAATGGTGGTATAACAAAATTCTAAAAAGAAGATCAATTGTCAAAAAAATAAAAGGTAATGAATAATATGACAAAATTAAAAGCGCAAAGGCTAACTAAATGTGACAACACCACAATAGTCAATGACTAGAACTGAGATTTACTCTTAATAAAATTAAACTATAAAAAAAAATGACACTATTGATCTTTTCGTTATAGGATATAATGAACATAATCCCTTATATGAGAACACTCTTAGCTTTTATCCCGTAATAGGATAGTATATTTAACGAAATTGTGTCATGTACTTTATACTAGTATGAAATATCTAACTCTAGTACCAAATTAAAATTCTAAATTAATACATAATTAATAAGTCATTGGAACAACTTACAATCAACTTGTTGAAACGAGGGTGCTAGAAGTAGTAATATTAGAATTGATTGAAGAAATTTCTTCAAGAATTCTATCAACTGCACCTTTATCTTTAACCATTGACATATGAGAAACCCCAGGAATCTTGATCACTTCAACCGTATCATTTCCCCATTGCCACTCAAGTGCCGTCAAGCTCACCATATTCACCGTGCCGTCGCCGTCGCCGTACACAATCTCCGGCTGCTCATCGAACCCACCCTCCCCATAAACCAGCGTCTCCGCCGTCTCAACCCCGCTCCCGAATATGCACGTCACCGGCACTCCCGGCGGCGCGGCCAACCGCTCCACCAGAGGCAACACGCGCGATTCGTAGCGCGAGACGCCGCCGGAGAACCCAATGTCCGCCAGAAACCGGGAGATGTCATCCGCCGTGTACTCGGCGTGCGGCGTGACGACGAGCGGTTTTGTGCCGCCGAACACCGCCGGCGACGGCAGCAGCCACATGTTGCTCTCCGAGCTCCGCTGTTCCTCTCTCACCTGCAACGGATCGACCAGCGGCACCCCGAGCGTGTTCCCCGACGCCAACGTCAGCATCTCGTCGACGGCGCCGCCCCACGGGGCGGAGAGGGCCACCAGGTGTTTGATATATTTTGTGCGCCAAGAAATGGGGTTCCGGTGGAGCAATTGCAGGGCGAACAGGCCGCCTAGGCTGTGGGAGACGAGGATTACAGGCTCCCCGCCGTTTGAATCGCTGGCGGTTTCTATCAGATTCTTGAGTTCATCGAGGAATTTGGATCCTACCTGACTTGGATGCCCTTTTGCAGCCAAACCATACCGGAAATCATAGGGTGCTCCGAACATGTTCTTGCCATCCTCGTACCCTAATTGCTCCAATGACTCCACTAATGGTGCCATGTATGCTGAAATGTGCCTGCACAACATATCAACCTAAGCATTGTGCACTAAACATTGATGAATCTCAGCAATGCACTATGCTTATTTCTTAGTGGGTCATTCATCACTATAAATCAAACACATTTAATCACAGAATTTTTGACTGTCTGGTCTTACTTAAAATCAACATTTCTAATTGAACAGGAGAATTGGACCAACTCGGCGAACGCCCAACAAACACACTTAATCGTCACAGAATTCTTTTACTATCTGGTCTTACTTAAAACCAACATTTCCAATCAAACAAGAGTAGAATTCGACCAACTCGGCCGACGCCAACAAACATTACTAGTATCATATTTATAAACAACCCTAACGATATATTTACAAGATTACCCCTATCATCTTCTTGTATCATAACGAGACATACCCAGTAACTATTCCACAATAGTTGTATTTCACATGATCACTAATAAAATTTTAACATATTATACTAGAATTGAATGGTTAATTGCTTGATGAACAATTACTATAATACCTTAACAACAATTAAGAAGCTAAATTAAAGAATTAGCCTTACTTGAGATTAGGATCAAGATAGAGAAGTGATTGGGTGGAGCCAAAGTTGGGCACTCGAGTTTCAACCCCAGGGGCATTATAGTAATCATCAAGATCAGAGTCATAGTAAAGCATCATCCTCTCACTGAAACACTTGGTGAGGGGAGACAAGAGGACACTGGAATCAAACCACAGCCTGAACCAACCATCGCCATCTTTCTTGACTGGATACCACTTGCACCACAAGCTTGTAGGCTTGTACTTTGCAGTCAACCTTGCTTCTAGCTGGTTCCCGCCGTTCCCTGGGATCAGGATCAGAGGGTGGAGGTTGGTGGTGGCTTGACACGTGCACAGCATCACAGCCATTGAGACCATGACGGCAACGACGGTGATGTCCAGGTAGTTCATGGGCCGGAAAGTGATGATCGGAGTTTGTTGGTGAGAGAAGAGGGGAAGAGAGCGGTGGCGTTTGGGGGCATGTTGGCTTGTCAATGGAGTTTGGATTATGAGTGTGTTGCAGATCAGAGAAGTGGTTTGTGGTAGAAAATGTGTCTACGTTTCAAAGAAAATGTAGTTTGGGCTTTGAATATATTATATGATACCTGCACTTGGGCTTTAATATCTTGGACCTAGATGTCTACTTTTGTGCAGAAAGAAAGTTTTTAGTACATATGTAGGCAGAAACATTTGATCCAACTTGTTTTGTTTTTTAAACTTAGGTCATCAGAGCTTTATCGGACTAATTTTAAGTTTATAAGACCCTGTTCCTAGAGTTACCGGTCAAATCCTAGTATTCATGTGCGCACAAGGGATTCAATCCAAATCTTCCATCATGAGTTGTTATACCATGGAGTCATGGACAATGGTCCACCTTGCAAGGTGGATCCTGGTTCTAAACGACGTATAAATTGTATATGGTCAAATCATAGTATTCATGTGTGCACAAGGAATCCAATCCAAATCTTCCATCATGAGTTGTTATATCATGGACTAAGGTCCACCTTGTAAAGTGGATCCTGGTCCTAAACTACGTATAAATATAATTGTATATTTTTAGTATTAGAATTGTGAATTTTTATAACATAAATTGTGTTTCTAAGTCAAAACACATAACAACTGTAAAAAAGAATTTGTAAATTGTGTGACTGCAGTTTTGAAAGGTGAACATTTGGACCCAGGTCCACAGAATAATTTGTCTTCCAAACTCCTATCATTCTTTAAGCCCTTTTTCCCATACATATTTCTAGTGCGATTTGAACTCTCACACGGCCGCCTCCCGTCATGACATTAAGTCATGCGACAAACTAACTACGCTAAGCCCCAATGTACTTGTTTTGTTTTTTCGTGACAAGGGAAATTTGTAACAATAAAACTATGTGAAACATGTTCAATCGAGAGATGTTAGCAACCAAGAATCAAACTCGTGACTATATGGTACAAGAATCGCTCAATCGAGAAGGTGTTGGCGAGAATCAAATCTGTGATGACCTTATGGTATAAGAATCAAGTTCTACCCACTCGGCCACCCCTTTCAATGTAAACCTCACCATGTGTAATAACTCGCAAATCACATAAAGCGATATATTACACTAGGATGATCATGTGCTAACTAATAGGAGGATATAAGTCGTTGGTCTTCTCGCATACACCAAAACTCAACGTCAAAAGTTATACTTAAATTAGTGAATTTTTTGTTATTGTTGATTACTTGATTTAATTTAATCGTATGGTTCAACCACCAAATGGCTAATAAATTATAACTAAACCCTTTCACACTTTCAATATGAATAATAAGAGAAAAACTTATTGAAGATTTTTTTATTTTTTAAATATAAATTAAAGAAATGAAAACTAAAGGATTGAAATAAACATAATTATAGGGTCCGTTTAGAAATAACAAAAATCTTTTTTAAAATGGTACTGACTCTATTACAATGTAGTATCTGTTCATATACTTTCTCAACTTAAGAGCCAATAACGCCTCCACTGAGACTCGAACTCACAACCTTCCAAATGAAAGTCCAACCCGAGTACCATTTTTGAAGAATACTTTAATTTTATAATGTTTGCATGAAGATCATATACTTTTTTTTTTTTTTTTTTTTTTTTCTGTTCAACTAGATGTTAAGAAATTGTATTTTTATGTTTGATTCATTTTTTCAAAAATGGACATATTATTTGTTATATAATAATAATAATAATAATAATAATAATAAGTGGTGGTGTGGTGGCGGTGGTGGTTGTGGTGTAAGTGATTATGATTTTGGTGGTGATGGTAGTGGTAATAATAATCTGAAAACTAGAAAAGTAATGAGAGAGAATATAAAAATGGTAAAAAAATTTAATAAATGTCTTCCGATTAAAAATCTAAGATAATATTTTTTCTTTTTTGTCAAATTGAACTTATTTTCTGTAGACCAGTTTTCCTTTGACTTTATTTTCCTTTAAATATCTAAACACAGAAAAATCCCAAAAATTAAATAAGAATTTTCCTGATTTTTAAAAAGACGCTTAGTTTCTTTCTACTTCATACTACTATTAAAAAAAAAAAAGTAGTTTTATAAAAATACTGTTTTTTTCTTTTTACTTATTTAGTAATCAAAATAGCCTTTATTGTTTTTATTTTTAGTGATAACTAAATAACTTATGACATTTTGTTCTAATGCTAACGGGAATTAAAGTTTGGGGGGACAAGGAAGCAAGGATGGAGATACCTCTTATTGTCTCTCCTTGTCTCTTGTATACTTCATCTGTCTCATTTTGTCTGTCATGTTATTATTCATTGGTCAAATTAACTTTTTTTAGCTTATTTTTTAATAATTTTTAAATTTACTTTTTTTTTTTTTTTTTTTTTTTTTTATGTTTAATAGTACTTTAATATAATGTCTAACATATAAATTTTATATACTAATACTAAACCTAATATTATAAAAAATTAAATTAAAAATAACTTCAGTTAAGTCACGTGCAAAAGAACTGTTTTTGACGGTCAAATGCGAGGCGAATTTGGTAATTACAGTAGTGTGATTAGTGTCCCACCAGAGTTGTTGGGCAGTTGACTTATGGCTAATTGAAATAATCCCTCGACTGCTCGACTCTCATCAATGTCTTCGTCCCAAAAATAAAAAAAAAAAAAAAAAAGACTTCCCCATGGGAACACAGAAATCAGAATGCAAACCACAAAATTCCAAAATTCACTTCCGTTTATAAAACTCCAATCTCTACTCGTACGAAGGAGGAATTTGGTACGAGGAGCGATCGGAGGCGCCTGTGAGGCATATATAAGACGGCGACGTCGTCGGCTCTGGTGGCGGCGCCGGCGGATTCTGATTTGATTTGGCGCTCTAATCTCCGATCCCCAACCCCAAGCGGCTTCTCTTCCTCGCTTTCTTCTCCGCCGCATTGCCGCCGCTCATAACTGCTCTTCATTCGCCATTTTCAGTATGTATTCTCTTCTTTCTCGTTATATTCAATTCTTTAGCTTCTGTTAATGGGTTCTTCCAGCGTTTGTGACCGCGATGCAATGGCGGCGGTACAAAACAAGAAATTGACTTTTCATTTTAGTATAGACTATAGAGTGTCGCATGCATGTAAATCCAAAAGTGATACTTAAACACTACGGTTAAAAGTGAAAATATGGGTTAAAGTACCTATGAGATCCCTATACTATAGTATTTTGTTCAATTTAGTCTTTTTACGTTAATTTTGGTCAATTTAGTCCTTGTACTTTTAAAAGTGAAATAATTAAGGACAATAGCTTATATTTATGTATTTATTTTGGACATATTAATGTAATATATTGGTGATAAAAATAATTAATTCTAAATATTTATAAAATAATATATTTGTTGGTGTGTAAGTATGATGTCGTGACAGATATAATATCAGCTATTGTCCTTAATTGTTTAACTTTTAAAAGTACAGGAACTAAATTGAACAAAATTAAAGTAGAAGGACTAAATTGAACAAAACACTATAGTACAAGGACCTCATAGATGCTTTGACCGAAAATATGTTATAATTGAGAGTTTTTATTGTTATTTTTATTTTTTTAGTCAGGAACGTAATTTGGAAAGAGTATTATAGTTTTTGTTTTTTTGAGTGCTATGACTCTATTATAATGTAGTATCTGTATATAACTACTTTCTCAATCTATTGAAGTACAATGAGACAATGCTGCCTCTACTGAGGCTCGAACTACAACCGTAAGGCTCGAATCCACAACCTCCCATATGGAAATGCAATCTTGGTGCTATTAGACCACAAGGTGTTGGCAAAGAGTATTATAGTTGAGTGACTAAAAATGAAAAAATAAAAATAAAAAAATTCTATAATCTAAGGGTGTAAACGTGAATTAACTTATACCCTTAGGGGGCATTTGGTTCACGGAATCTTGGACTACCCCAGGTAATAAGCCAGGAAGGTAATGTGAGATTTTGGGAATGTAAGATTATCTTATGTGTTTGGTTTGGATTGTGGAATATAATATTACCTTGTTTGATTAAGGATTATATTTTAGGTTATATTGATCAATTTACAATAATATCCTCAATAATTTATTTGTGTATGTATTTATTTTATTTATTTATATGTATGAATGTATATCACTGCTTAAATATTTTAAAAAACTAAATATATAAATATACACACATGTATATTTGATTGTATAAACATATATTTATTACTTTGAAACTTTACCGTCACATCAGCTTTCGGGTAATATAACATTATCAGGTAATTTCATGACTTGAACCAAACAAGGTAATATAACATTACCAGATTCAGATTACCTAGGTAATCTAAGATGACTTGAACCAAACGCCCCCTTACAGATATGGGTGACGAGGGAAATTGACAGAGTGTGAATTGAGTAAATCTTGTCTTGTGACTTTAGCTAGTAAAGAGTTACACTAAATTAAACCAATTTAAATTATTCATAACTGATCTACTCAAATCTAAAAAAGTCAATAGGCTAATACTCACATATTTTAATTAGTGTTTAGTTTATTGACTTGGTCTATCGTGACTCAATTACAGATAGAGCATAAACGCTTCCGCTCATCACTTCTGGTTTGCCACAATAATTGTTCATATGCAGCATGAAGAGGATATCATCATTATGTGGTTCTCAGAAAGCTGCTGCTTTTCCTCGTTTCACTGACGTTGAAAATCAACCTCCTCACAGTAAAGGTACAAACTAGGTCTTTTATATCAAAAAAATAAAAAATAAAGGTGAAATCTAGGTTCATGATATATGATATATTCAAGAAGTAAGGTATTAGACTTGACTCTTTGGATCTCCGCCAGTTTTGATATCACTTTTTAGATCAAGTGCAAAGTGTAAATGTGCAACTTTATTCCCTTATATAGACACATTTTTAAGTGGCAGGATGTTAGATTTGACCGCCCTTCAGGCCTCCACTCACCTGTCAGCTAACCACATGATGCTGAATTTGGTCCTTTTTAAGACTCCACTTAATAATTCGATCTCTAATCACTTGGTGCTGGAATTGACCCTTCGTCCAACATGTTTAATGTAGTGACCTTAGAAAGCTCCACGGCTGACCGTAGAACGCTTCACGGCACGGCCAAGGAAGGCGACTGGGGGACTGCAGAGCTTATTCTGAAACGCAACCTAGACTATGCTCGTCAGAAGATTACCAAAGCCGGGGAAACACTTCTCCACGTCGCCGTTGCGGCGAGGAGGAACGAATTCGTAGAGAAGCTGGTGAAAATGCTGGATCCGATTGATTTGGAACTCAGAAATGACAGTAAACGCACTGCTTTCGTGTATGCTATTGAGCTGGGAGAAAAGAGAATGGCAGAGGTGATGGTGGAGAAGAACAAGAAGCTGCTCACCATCAATGCTTATGAAGACATGACTCCCCTGGAAGTTGCAGCTCTGACAAAGCAAAACGAAATGTTTTCGTACCTTTTCAAGGTCACACCTTGCGAAAAACTCAGTGAATTGGGTAGCCCTCTCATGGAAGCCACTATTCAGAATGATATGTATGGTAAGCTATAGGCTATACATATAAGCAAAATCTACTATAAGTATATTCTCATGACGGACCGGTCTCATGGGTATAGATTCTCGAGACGGTCTCACAAAAGACATACTCCGAAAAATGAAATTATTAAGGGTATTTTCGTCTTTTTTAAATTAAGATCTCAATTTGAGCATAAATAAAGAGATTTGAGCATCTATCCCAGTACACAAATCTCCCGATAGTTATGCTGTGCATCCGTATGCACCAGGCATGGTGCATACGGATGCAAAAACGACGTCGTTTTATTAAAAACGCGCATCTCACTTGAAAAAAAAAAAATCAGGTTCGATTCCCCTCAACAACATTATGTTGTTCATTCATTCTGGAATTTTAGTTCATCGATTCTGAAATTTCAATTCATAGATTCTGGAATTTTAGGTCGTTCATTCTGGAATTTTTAGTTCATAGATTAGATTCTAGAATTTTAGTTCATCGATTCTGGAATTTTAGTTCATTGATTCAGGAATTTTAGTTCATATGTTGTTGCTGGGAATCGAAACTGATTTTTTTTTTTTTTTTTTAAGTGAGACGCGCGTTTTTAATAAAACGACGTCGTTTTTGCATTCGTATGCACCATGCATGGTGCATACGGATACACATCATAATTTGCCCAAATCTCCTCCTCAAATTAAGGTAAGATGAGGGGGAGAACATTGAATTCGATCTTAGGGCTTAAATCTCTTTATTTATGCTTAAATTGGAATCTTAAGTTGAAAATGACGAAAATGCCCTTAAAATTTTTAGATTTTAATATGTTTTAAACGGATGGGGTGACCAACATGATGAATTTTGGTACTAAAATAATAGTCATGGATGAAAATTGGTACTAAAACAATAGTCCTGAATGAAAATTGGTAGAAATTAAACATGTGAATCAAAACCGTCATTTTACTCATACTCGTGGGACCAAAATTGGTATTTGCTCGAAGACTCACCTATATATATAATGTTTGAATGAGTGTATGTTATTATGAAGCTTTTCAAGATTTTCATGCATGGTCTCGATCTAACCCAGCTTCTCTGCTGCAGACATGGCATTAGAAATCCTAGAAAAGGATGAAACTTTAGCCACTTCCAAGCTTCCATGTTACAATTCATTCTTGAGCATTCTAGTCCGGAAACCGCCTCCCATAATCGATGAACATCCCGGTGGAACACGGTGGGGAAACATTCTTCGTGCAGCTGTTCCCGCGATGGAGGAGAAGTATTTGCAGAGGAAGAAAGCTGGGGAAGTGTTTGAAAAGATCTGCAACTTGTGGCTTGGTTTACCAGAGGAAGAACTGACTGGCCTCATTATGAAAACAGAAATACTTCACTATGCTGCCATGGAGGGGAATGCAGAGTTCATAGCCATGGTTCTTCGCAGGAAACCTGTTCTTTCTCTGGTGCTCAACAAGAAGGGTCAGACAATGTTTCATGTCGCGGTGTCGCATCGCCAAGAAAGAGTTTTCAATCTTATATACGACATGGGGCCCTTCAAGGAATTGATCCAACAAATTGTGGATGAAGATGGGAACAACATTTTACATTTGACTGCAATGTTGGGGCAGACAGTAGGAGACAAGAATGTTAAGGTGAGTCAATTCTCACATTGAAGTTGGGAGGGTTTGATTCTGTATTTTTGCCTATAATCTGCCATCCAAAAATTAACTGAGCTGCTCGTGCTGGGGCATGCAATGTTTTGTAGTTATATACAATCCATTATCCAACATAAAATGTTTATATGGTGCCTAAAATTAAAGTTATTGTTCATCTTCTACTTGCAGGCTAAATCTGAGCTAGTGGAAGAGACTCAGAAGATTTTGCCAAGACAGCTTATCAACGTATCTGGAGCAGCACTGCAATTGCAGCGAGAAATCTTGTGGTTTAGGGTGAGAACATACACAACTTTTAAATGCCAAAGTCGTTAGAAACCAAAAATTCAAGTTTTTAATTACTTTTGAGTGATTGGAAATTCCATTTTAATTTAAAGTGACCTGGTAAACCTGTAGTTATACTATTTGAGGGTGTGCACTAGGTAAATTTCGCCTTTTAACCTTAACTGGCAAAATCAGCCTAGTTGCTTATAGCTTACTGTCTTAAACCAAGAAAGCTTTTTCGAGTGACGAGGGTAACCCACAACATTACTGGAAATTTTCGATTTTCCAACCACTTTTCCGACCATCCAGAAAAATGGTCGAAAAAGTGATATTTTTAAATTTTCCATCAAAGAATTACGGTGGTCGGAAATAGGGACGAAGGTTTTTCGGGATACCAAAAGTAGTAAAAAATGTGGTCTGAACAGGGGTTCTGACTGGATTTAGGTCATTTCCGACCACTTTCAGGTGGCTAGAAATTACTTGATTTTCAGCAATGCCACTGCACCGAGAGTATTCACTAGATAAATTTTGCCTTGTATGTGACTCTAGCGGGCAACATTAGCCTAGATTGCTTATAGTGATGGACTTAAATCGAGAAAGCCATCCAATAGGATGCTCCTGCTAGAAGTCGAACTTGTAATCTTACCAAATCAATTGTACAGCTTGACCAACTTGATTAGGGATGATGTTTATCCAGGAGGTGAAGAGGGTTGTGCCACCAACATATTGCAAGATGATCAATGCAAGTGGAAGAACCCCAGAGGAACTATTCTTGAAAGAGCACAAAGAACTAATCAAGGAGGGCGAGCAATGGATGAGGGACACCGCAAATTCCTGCATGATCGTCGCAACTTTAATCGCCACCATGGTGTTCGCGGCGGCCTTCACCGTACCCGGCGGCTACGACCAAGTCACCGGCATCCCAATCCTCATAAAACCCGCCACCTTCACGCTCTTCGCCATCTCCGACGCGGTGGCCATGTTCTGCTCAATCATGGCCATCATCATGTTCCTGGCCATCCTGACCTCGCGCTACAGAAAACACGACTTCCGCGTGGCGTTGCCGGCGAAGCTGTTGATCGGACTCACGGCGCTGTTCGTGTCGATCGTCGGGATGCTGGTGGCGTTCGCCGCCGCGTTCTTTTTGGTGTATAAGAGGGAGTGGGAGCCGAAGCTCGTCGCTTCTCTCGCCGGTGTCCCGTTTGCTTCGTTTCTGTATCTGAATTGGCAGCTGTGGTTCGATTCCATCAGTTCAATATTCGGCTCTAAATCTCTCTTCAGACCAAACAAGTTGATGGTTTATGGTGGAATGGATTTTGAAAATCACTGACGATCATATATATCCATGCATGCATATGTAGTATGTAGTTTCTATTATTACATCATTTTTCAAAATGTGTTAAAATCTTTCATTCCCTTGTAATGGAATTGAAGTTGTATGTTGAATGGAAGGTTATTGTAACTTTGCACGTTAATATTGGTGTTGGTAACAGCTGATAATGGCTGGTTTAACTAAGTTTTGCTGATTTGATTGGTTTTACTTTATGTCTTTATAGGTCATTTTATATTCAATCAATTAAAAGTAAACAATTAATTTTCTAAACATTTTTTACAGTCAGCTAATACTATCTAGGGGTGAGCATCGGTCGGTTATCGGTTAATAACCGAAATAATCGAAAATTCCACACCCTTCGCATAACCAACCGAAATAACCGACACACATCTCATAACCGAACCGACCGAAAACCGAAAATTTCGGTCGGTTATGATCGGTTATTTTTAACCAAGCTTAATTACCTAACGGGCTGAAATTTCGTTAAAAATTTAGTTTAAACTAAAAAATTTAACTACTAAAAATAAATTACTAGTTAAAACAATCCATCACATGAAAATTTCAAAATCAAATGTCTAAAGTTGCAATGTCAAGTTGTCCACACTCCAAAGTCCAAACACAATATTAAAACTTAAAAGTACAAATTAGAAGATAACATTACAACCCCAAGTCTGAAAATGATCTCAATGCCAAAATAAAAGTACATTAAGTAATGCTCCAATTCTTCCAAATAGCTCACTGCCTCATTGCCAAGTTGCCAACTACCAAGTCCCTTTTCATTGTGCTAAGTTTCAGACTTCCATAGACCACTTCTCACTGCCAAAGTGCATAATTTCAAACATTAATAACTAATAAAATGTAGTAAAATCTAAACAAAGCAAAATTTAAAACACAAATAAAATTATATTTTACCTATTTCTTCAATTAATTTGGACTTCTCAATTCTTATGAGTCGATCACAGCATCCAAACTAATCTTTGTCAAATCTAAAAACACATATCAAATTACAATACGGTTAAATCATAACACATAGCATATTACGATTTATGAAATATGAACTATAAAAGAAATACAAATATAAAGTAAAACATACCGAGGTCAAGATTTTTTTTTAATTTTTTTTAAATTTGTTGTCGCCGGAAATATGGTTGGAAATATCGCCGGAATTTTTTGACCGGTTATTCCAGGTGAAAAACTTACTATTGGGTTTATTTGACTCAAAATAACAAGTTGAAGGGCCTAATTGCACATTTTCAAAATTGAAGGGTCTAATTGTTCTTTTGCCTATAGTTTAGGGGTCTATTTGACCCTTTTCCCTTCTTTTTTTTTAACAATTCAAATGGTGTTTGAAATATTGCAACATTTGCAAGCTTTTTAAACAATTATTATTATTATTATTATTATTATTATTATTATTATTATTATTATTATTATTATTATTTATTATTATTATTTTTTTTTTTTTTTTATTATTATTATTATTATTATTATTATTATTTATTATTATTATTATTATTATTATTATTATTATTATTATTATTATTATTATTATTATTATTATTATTATTATTATTATTATTATTATTATTATTATTATTATTATTATTATTATTATTATTATTATATTATTATTATTATTATTATTATTATTATTATTATTATTATTATTATTATTATTATTATTATTATTATTATTATTATTATTATTATTATTATTATTATTATTATTATTATTATTATTATTATTATTATTATTATTATTATTATTATTATATTATTATTATTATTATTATTATTATTATTATTATTATTATTATTATTATTATTATTATTATTATTATTATTATTATTATTATTATTATTATTATTATTATTATTATTATTATTATTATTATTATTATTATTATTATTATTATTATTATTATTATTATTATTATTATTATTATTATTGGGCGAGGTAAAGGAAAATAAGTATAAGAGAGAAAATGTTGAATATGTTGGAGGGATATGAGTTTTTTTTTTTTTTTTTTTTTTTGTGGCTTATATGAAAAAAAAGAAGAAGAAAAAAAAAGAGCTTTGTTGATGCACGTTTTGTATACCAAGCACGTAAATATATGGTAACATGATTTTTTTTTTTTCCCACTTTTCTTCTATCTCTTTCCTAATTAGCACAAAAAATCTGAAAAAAAAAAAAAAAAAAAACCGAGCATGTTACACACTTATTTATGAACAGAAGTCTAAGTAATAAGCACCTATACTATAACAGTTATAGGTGGTCCAATGATGTTAACAATGGTGGAAAGATTTGTATTAAGGCGACCTAGAATGACATTGAAAATGACATGCAATGTTGCTTTGGTCACATGGCTGCTAAATGGAGATCAAATCAGGCTTAAAATAATTGTAGACTAATTTTTTTAAGAATAAAAGTTTCTTTGAATTCGTTTTTTAGTATAGTTGTAATTGTAAATGATTTTTTTAAAAAATAAAAAATAAAAATTGGGTGATTTAGCATTTTTACTTTCAAAAGTGTTTCACAGAGTGAGCCTTTTCATGTATTTTAGAGTAGGGTGCGTTTGGAAACCGTGAAAATGACTTCTGAAAAATGTTTTCCGGGTTTCCAGTGTTTGGTAAGAGGGAGGAAAATGAGGTTAATGAAAAATGATACATTAGTCAACGGAAAATATGTATGTTTTGAGGTAAAATGACTTTCCCTTTTTTTGGGAGAGTCATTTTCCAAGTGATGCATATGTAAAATTTTTCGCGCCTAATTTTTTACGGGCTTTTGCATGTCGGCTCACCAAGCCCGTGAGTTAGGGTTCATGCAATCATATATATATATATATATATATATATATATATATATATATATATATATATATATATATATATAAACGGATTTTATCAAAAGTATCAAATAATTAAAATTTTGAAATATTCAATTCTTTTCATTTTCGTGCTCATTTTCTGGCAAATGAACCAAGCATACAAAGACAGTTTTCTGTTTGTAGCCAAACATGAGAAAGGAAAATATTTTCTGAAAAATGAGTCATTTTCCAGAAAATATTTTTTAGAAATCATTTTCCTGCTTTCCATACGGAGCCTGTAAAATAATTGTTGAAGTAACGAGTTATACATGAGGTTGGGAGTTCCAATCATATGTATGCAACAGTTCTTATGGGAGTATAACTCTCTAGAGGGGCTCGGTTGAGCCTAATCATAATGGTATGAAAAAGAAAACGATTAAGCTTCGTCGAGATAATTTAAGTTGTCACTTAATTAATATTTAATATTGTTTTTAGTTGCTGAGTGAGGGAACTTAAAATCACTTGGACAACTCATAATTTACCTTTTTTATGGGTCTTGAGGCGAGTTCATGAGTCCAGGCCACTCGAGTTCTACCTCCTTTATGAGTCTTGGTTCATGGAGGCTCAAGATATATTTTGACAAAGCCGAGATACATGGATTATACAAAAAAAAAAAAAAATAATAATAATAATAATAACAATAAAGATTGATAAGTGTACGACATTGGCTAGCCTTCATTCTTAGCCACACATGCAATGAGTCCTCTCACTACTTTGCTTCGAGCGCACTTTCCATACATGAGTGAACCGTTTTGATTGCACCTACTTAGCTTATTTTATTCCTTTCTTTTGGTCAGTGTGAGTATAATTTTAGTCTCTTTAATATTGTGTTTTCTTTTGTTTTTCTTTTTCAAAATTGTTGTTCTCAAGTTTAAACTGCTTAGATTTATTATTTTGCCTATTAAACTTTTGTCACTTTTTAGTGCTAATGGAAAACTAAAATTAGTACATTTTCAATAAGATGATGGCTAAAATTGACATATATATTTTCAATATACGAGAGACTAAATATGATAAAATGGCCAAGGAGCATGAAGTGACTCTTCTAAATGAGAAGTCATGGGTATGAGCCTCAGTGGAAGCTGTATTGACTCATTGTAAATACTCAACGGATGAAATTGAAATTAATTAACTGAATTAAGTTTATAAAGATTAAATATTAATTATTAGATTTAAATTTTTTTTAATATTTGAATAAATAAAGAGGAAAATTAAGTTTATAAAAACCAAGAATCACGAAGAAATGAGGAAGCACGCTGGACACGACAGGTCAAATGATGCTGACAAAATAGGATGGTCGATCCAAAACCTCGACGAACTAGTCAATTTCGTGTTCCATTCCTTTATTTCTTAGCCTTCGCCTCCAATGTTATTATATAAGCTTGTGAAATAAATCAAACTATAAAGTTTTTTGTGCGATATGTATGATTCAGAGAGTGTTAGCAATTAACTTTTAGATACGAGAATCATGTTTCACTTACTTAGATATTTCTTTTTGAGTTCACCGACCTGCATTCTTATCATAAGTACATGGTACCTAGTAAATATAGACTAGTTCAAATTTCGTTTAAAATATGTCCACAACTAAAGTTTTTTTTTTAATTGTGAATAATATTATATGCATATTAATTTTTTATGACCGCGGAATCTTGATGAGGAAAATTTAGTATTGATTGATTTTTTCCATCAGACTTTTTCCTCCAAAAAGATTTGCTCTTTCTATACTTGTTATATAGTATTAGTCAAATATCACATAATCCCAATTAAATAAATAAGTAATGAGAGGGAAAAAAAAAGAGTAGTAAACGTTATAAGGAGATAAAGATAATAGAAACAATCACTACATCAAAGGCAAAAGAAATGTAAATTAATTAAATAAAAAATAATTTATAAGTGTATAAAAAAAGTAAGTAAAATGTATGATTTCTTATTGTCAATGGCTTTAACAATAAATTTTTTTTAAAAAAGTAAAATCATTAAAATGTGTAAAAGTATACAATAAAATAAACACATTATACAAGCTATCATGAGTCATGAAAATTAATTTTTAAAATATTCAATATTCTTTATAAGGTAGTATATGTTTTATATTTTCTCAAACATTTTCAGCTCAAATAATCTAAGCTCCTATTACCCAGGTTCGAACCTATAAACACTCATTTGGAATGATAACGGGATATCATCACACTATATAGTAGTTGATCATGACAATTAATTATTTGATACATTTTTTTTTTAACCTTCATTATTCATTTTAATATAATTTTTAGATTAGGTGTGCCCCCCACCCCACATGCCTTTCAAATCTTATCTTAATGTATTTATGCCATAGCCCATAGTGTATTATTAAAGGTCCCTATCTTATTTAATGATCATTTTTTAATTGTCTATTAATGGGTCCACTTGGGGCAAAATGATATTTTTGAAGATTCAGTAAACATTTACCAGGTCTTTCATCTTTGTTTTATATAGTTCGTTAAACATTATTTAATTTGTGTGCCCAACTTGCCTCCTTTATTATTTATTAGTATAAAAGAAGTCTTTAAATAAGAAAAACTTATTAATTAATTGAGTAACGTAACATTCTCCCCTTAAATTTTATGTCTTAATATTCACATCCCGATGCTAAACACTATATGATTTCTTTTTCATTTAATTACTGACAGTCTGTTTGGTTCGTGAAAAATAATTGAGAACAAATTGGATTTAAAGTTCATAGAAGAAAATTATTTGGAATAATGATTTTATTGTTTTCTTAGTTGGGAATAAGTTGTTGAGAATAATTAGTATAAAAACTCAAATACTTCTACCTAATAAAGATATGTGAGAATAATATAGGAATTCATGTTATATATGTTTTTCTAAAAGGTGTGGAAAATAAAATATCAAAGAAAAGTAATGTATTCATTTTCCTCAAATTTGAGAAATTGATTTTTCATTAGAAAAAAATTCTCCATTAACCAAATAAGATAAAAATATGTCTTTCCTCAAGTTTGAAAAAAATAACTATTTTAGGAAAATATTTTACTGATAAACCAATTCTTGAGTAACTAATAAATATAAAAACTTGTTATTATTTTTAGTATGTAAGCAGTAAGATGACTCAACATAAGTGCAATAATCGTCCCGAAAGGGTTAGTCAAGTAGGTGGAACATGATTCTCAAATTTAAAAATCACAAATTTAATTTTTGTCAACACCTTCTTGTTTAAATATATAGTATAGAATCTTCCTAGTGCATTTTATTAGATGTTTGTAAACTAGTACATTTATATAAACATGGTTTTTATCCCATATATACCTTCGTAGTTGCTGCCGCCGCTTGGTAACCAGAAGATTCCAATATAATTATGACTCTCTGTATAAGATGTCTATTGACCTTATTGATATGATTTGAGTCGAGCAGCTATATATGAACAAATTAAGTTAATTTATTGTCTCATAGCGCACTTTAAGTAAGGGCTACATATTTCCTCGTAAATATTATAAGAAAAAACATAAGTGAAATTATTAAATTAAAACTTAAGAAAGAATATAATGATTAAATATAATTAATCATAACTTGGAGTTGGGACAATTGTTATAAAGTAATGAATTTAGGACCGGCAATGATGACCTGTCTTCTTGTTCTTTATTGGCCTCTTCTCTAATGGCCATTCCAGATACTTAGCTTTTTCCCCTTATAAAAACAACAATTTTCCGCAGAAGAAGAAGAATTCATCCTCACCACTTCTTCAACCTCAAAACAACATAAGAAAAAACATGTTTTCGTTTGTTCACTTTTGTTCAATCAATTAGTTAATTCTGCAAGTGTCGGAAACAGAATCTCCGGCCGCCATGAAAGGCAAAGGAAGGTACCGGAAGAGACTCATGGGCATCGTGGCCTTGCCCTTCACGGCTCTTTGCAAGGCGAGGGATTTCTACGTGAGAAGCATGACGGATTGCAGCGGGCGGGTCGGCGTCGGGAACGTCGCCGGAATGGGGCCGATGCACGGCGGCCGTTTGCCGAAGAATTTCAGCGTCGGATCGCTCCGGTCCAATGAAAGCGATGATTTCAGGGAGCTGGTTCGGGCGTCGTCTTCATCTAACGGCGTTACAAGTATTGACCTCGACTTGTTGGCGCGGGAACGGATGAAGCGGGCCGGGTCGGATCCCGGCGGCATGCCCAGAAGTTGCAGCGTTGGGATGGGTAAGATTGATGAAGATGCTCCTTTTGTTAATGGAGAAGACAATGATTTTGGTAATATTGGTGGGAAGGGAGAGGTTAATTTTGGAAGAAATAGAAGCTATGATGTAACAAAAAGCAATGCAAAATTATAGAAATGGGAAAATTACACTTTTAGTCCTTAATAAGTTATTGAGTAATTGTATAATTCGTTCATAAGTGTTGATTATGTTCACTTTTCGTCCCTAAGTTATTATAGGTATTGCATTTTTCATCATTTTGTGCACACTTTTCGTCTATTAGTTATACTAAAATTGCATATTTCGTCCCTAATGTTTTATTAGCAAAGAGATGAAAAATGCAACGTCAATTATAACTTATGGACGAAAAGTGAGTATGACCAGCATTTAGGGACAAAATCTATAATTATTCATAACTTAAAGACGAAAAGTGTAATTTTTCTTATAGAAATTTATATATTCAAATTAAAATTTTGATTTACGGGATTGTCTATAGTCGCTATTCGAACGTACACTCTGGTTGATATCGGGGAGTTATCAAACATTCAAATCAATCATCTAATTAACTTAAATTAGTTGTGATTGCCGTCTATATACTCAAAACATTATCTTAAATTAGTTGTGATTGCCGTTTATATACTCAAAACTTACATCACAATAATCTAGTACGGAATAGTTGATAAGCAAATTGTTAATATAAATATCTACTTCTACTCTACTAATAAGAGCCAAAGAGAGTTAGGCATATAATGGGTAGAAAATGACGGCCAAATTTTTTAATCAAATAAATGGCTTAGATTGATCATATTTTAATTTTTTCTTGAAATTTTCTAATTTATCATTAATTATATGATTATCTGTTAACTTTTTCGTTAAATAGTATCTTCTCTGTTAATTTCTGTTAGTTCACCGTTAACTTACTCATTGATTTCAATAAGAAAGGTCTTAGGTTCGAACTCATCCCAATCAAAGTTGAGATAATTAGCACTCTATTTACTCTTATTAAATTAAATAATAATTTAGTAGCTACAACAAAAAATAATACATATGCATTTCTTTAATTTAGAATTATGTGTCTACAATGTCTTTATTCAAAAAAAATATATTCATTATCAATAAATTAAATAAGAGAAATAATTTAATTAGTTATATTGTATTTATTTTTCTCTAATATAAAAATTCTTTACATTCAAATTCATCAATTGATTATATTCGTTACATTGTCCCTACAATGTCTTTATTAAAAAAACATTCATTATCAATAAATTAATTAAGAGAAATAACTATTTTCAAAAAAAAAATTAAGAGAAATAACTAGGACTATGTGGTCTATTGGTACCCGGGTTGGACTTATTTTTGGAAAGTTGTGAGTTCGAGCCTCAGTGGAGGTGTTATTAGCTTTTTGTGTTTCAGTAGGTTGAGAAAGTATATTAGCTTTTTGTGTTTCAGTAGGTTGAGAAAGTATATGAACAGATACTACATTGTAATAGAGCTAGTAGCATTCAAAAAAAAATTAAAAGAAATAATTTTATTAGTTATATTGTCTTTATATTTCTCTAATGTAAAATTTCTTTACATTTAAATTCATCAATTGATTATATTTACTACATTGTCTATTATATTTTTTTGTGCACTATTTTTTAATTAAATATTAAAATTATAATACAAAATAATGCTATATATTTATTTGCCAAGTATTTTATTAATACCATGAAAAAATTAAAATAAATATAATTAATAAAGCCAATCATATTAACTACTTGAGAGATTTGTTGACAAAGAGAGTATTCAAATAACACAACAAATTGAAGTGAGAACTACCTCGCAATGTCCTTGTTTGACAATCAGCAGTTAACGGTTAGCGTTTGCGGATTATATTAGCGAATTTGACTAGCGAATTATATCAACGGTTGGTAAAAGATATTTGAGAAAATTAGCTATTTAGATTAACATGTAAAATGACCTAAGGTGTATATATATATATATATATATATATATATATATATATATATATATATATAATAATAATAATAATAATAATAATAATAATAATAGTTTTTAATAAATAAAAAAAATATTTTGTTTGAATGCTACTAACTTTATTATATTGTGGTATCTGTTCAAATATATTTTTTTGACCGATCGCAATATTAAATTTGATGTGATAAGGCAGGTTATGGCGTCTGTGTGGAGACCATTGATGGGGATACAAGTAGCTGAGGTGCAACCGAATTTATACCTATTCACGTTTTATCATGAAACGGATATGGCTTATGTGTTGGAGAATGGTCCTTGGGCGTTTGAGAATGCCACCCTGATTTGTCAGCCATTGCGACCTGGCGAGCATCCCACTCAGGTAACATTGAACACGTTGGATTATTGGATACAGGTACACGACTTGCCGGTCGGATACCGGACGGATAAAGTTTTGGAGAAAGTGGGGGATTATCTAGGGCTTTTTGTCTGTTTGGATGAAAGAAACTTTGTGAGGCCGTGGACTAAATTCTACAGAGTTAAGGTCACGGTTGAGGTAACGGCACCATTAAAAAGACGAATGAAGATGATTTTACGTGATAATACTTGGACATGGGTGAATTTTCGCTACGAGCGTTTGCATATGTTCTGCTATTTTTGTGGAAAGTTAGGGCATACGGACAAGTTTTGTCTTGATGCTCGGGTGTCTGGTCTTAAATCTGAATTGTATCCATTCAATGCAAGTTTGAAGGCGGGTGGTAATTTACCGGCAAAGGCGGTGGGGGAAAATTGGTTGCAAAAAGGGGAGCAGAGGCATCGTGAGTTAGGGCTTGGTGGTGGGGAAGGGGGGGCTGTTCAGCTTCCATCTATGCATGGGAACCGTACGGGTGGTGGGGGTCCTTTAGCGTTGGAGAAGGGCCAACATGGTGCGTTGAGGGTGGGGGGGGGGGGGGGGCTATGGGTTCTTGGGGTGGGCAGCACTCGGTGGTTTACAGGGGTGGTGTAGGGGGGAAGGGGAAGAGGGTGTTCGGGTAGATCCAAAAAGAAGGAGGGGTGTGGAGAGGGAGGTGGCAGGTGATGTGGTGGTGGAGGAGGGGGTGATGTTGGTTGACTCTGTTACGACTGTTTTGGCGGGACCTGTGGATCAGGTCCGCCCTTCCCAATGAGTATTCTGAGTTGGAACTGCCGTGGCTTGGGCAATCCAAGGACAGTTCGAGAGATTGTGGACTTAGTGTCCAAAAGGAAGCCGGATTTTGTGTTCTTGATGGAGACGATGGTGGATAGGAGTCATGTGGAGAGGCTCCGTGTGAAGATTGGGTTTGAGGGAGGTTTTGGTGTGGATAGTCAGAGACAGAAGGGGGGTATGGGGTTTCTATGGGCGAAGAATAATAGTGCTCGGTTGCTCAAATATTCACAAAATCATATTGACATTGTGGTGTCTTTTCCTAATCGTCATCATTGGAGGCTCACTTGTTATTATGGTTTTGCTCAGAGTACGAGGAGAAAGGAGTCGTGGGATTTCCTACGATCGCTTAAGGATGTATCTGTTCTTCCTTGGGTGGTAATAGGGGATTTTAACGATATGCTTTTTCAATCTGAGAATAGGGGTAGACGACCACATCCTGCTGGTTTGTTAGAGGGTTTTGGGGAGGCGCTTGGGGATTGTGGTTTGACGACTATTCCCATGATCGGATATCCTTACACCTGGGAAAGGGGTAAGGGGACGCCGGATTGGGTAGAGGAGCGTCTGGATAGGGCGGTGGGGGATGCAGCCTGGTTGGAGTTTCATGATAGAGCTAGGCTTTATAATATTCAGACCCTAATGTCGGATCATACGGCCCTCTTTCTGGATATTTATGGCTCAGTTTCAACACGGAGACCGCGTAGTTTTCGATTTGAAAATGCGTGGTTGGAAGATGAGGGTTGCAGGGGGGTGGTGGAGGATCAGTGGTTGGGCTCGCAGGGTATGGGGTTGCAAGAGAGGTTATGGGCCTGTGGTCAGGGTTTGAAGAAATGGGGAGGGGATCATTTTCATAAATTTGGTTCCAGTATCGATTCTATAAGACGGGATATGAATGCTTTGAGAGGGTGTATGGACCCAGTTTCCTTGGGGCAGTTCAGACAGTTGGATAGTCAGCTAAGTTCCATTCTGTCGCAGGAGGAGACTTTCTGGAAACAGAGGGCCAAACAGCACTGGCTGCAGGGTGCTGATCGTAATACAAAGTTCTTTCATCAGTATGCCACGCACAGGAAAAGGAAGAATTTTGTTATGAAGCTTAAAGATGAGAATGGGACCTGGAAGGAGGGGGCTGGTCTTGTCTCGCTGGTCACGGATTACTACTCACAGATTTTTCAGTCCAGTGGTGGGGATGGTGTGTTTCACGTGGATACCCTCACGCCACGCGTCACACGTGCGCAGAATGATGATATGCTTCGTCCTTTTGAGCCTAAGGAGGTAAAGCACGCCTTGTTTTCCATGGGGAGGGATAAATCGCCAGGACCTGCTGGCATGAACCCAGGCTTCTACCAGGCGTTTTGGGATCTTGTGGGTAAGGATGTTACTGATTTTGTGCTTAATTGTTTATCTCAATCTTCCTTCCCTTTAGAATTGAATGATGAAAATATTGTTTTGATCCCAAAGAAGGCAGCCCCTGAATTGGTTGCGGATTTCAGGCCTATTGCTTTATGTAATGTGGTATATAAGGTAATGGCCAAGATGATTGCGAATCGTATGAAACCACTGCTTGATAATATTATTTCGGAGTCACAGAGCGCCTTTCTGCCAGGCAGGCTTATCTCAGACAATATTCTTATTGCGTCTGAGGTTGGACACTATTTACGAAGGAAACAGTTAGGGTGGGTTGGGTGGGCAGCTCTCAAATTGGATATGGCTACGGCCTATGACAGGATGGAGTGGTCTTTTGTGGAACGTATGTTGTTGGGACTGGGTTTTGATGAGAAATGGGTTGGACTAATTATGCTCTGTATACGGACAGTCAGGTACAGGGTGCTGGTGAATGGGAAGCCGAGTCAGGAAATAATCCCGTCTAGGGGTTTGAGGCAGGGGGATCCACTCTCTCCGTATCTTTTTATTATATGTGCAGAAGGCTTGTCTCTGTTGTTGCAGGATGCTCAGGCAAAAGGACGAATACATGGCTGTAGGGTGGCTCATGGGGCTCCACTAATTTCGCATCTCTTCTTTGCAGATGATAGCCTGCTCTTCTTTAAGGCAAACATGCAGGAAACTTTGGAGGTGAAGCGTTGTTTAGAGGTTTATGAACATTTTTCAGGCCAATCTGTTAATTTTCATAAATCCAATATTTCTTTTAGCCGCAATACCAGCTTGGGGGACAGGAATGCCATTGCTATGGGGTTAGGTGTTGAGCAAGCTGAGGATTTTGGGAAGTATCTGGGTCTACCTTCAGTTATTGGTAGAAACAGGAGAGTAATTTTTTCATATATTGAGCAAAAACTGAAGCAAAGGTTTGGTTCCTGGAATAAGAGGCT